ATGCACGGGGCATCGAGCGACGCGCGCGCCGAGTCAAGGAACTCAAGAGATAGTATAACCTCACTTATACCATCCTCTTCTCCACTTTTATGCGCTCATTTACGCGAAAGAGAATTTCCTAGAAAAGTTTTCGGCACTTGGCACCTCCTTCGACGCAACTTTTTTCGCGGATTTATCCACATCTTCGCCACACGTGCTGTTATGGGGATGAATTTCTTATAGTCATGAATACATATGGGTTCTTCGACCCAGAATCTCGCTTTTGTGCATAAAATATTTTCGCGAGAAAATTGAGGAGTGAGAGGGGTCCAGCTACGAATATTGGATGTGTTTTGATGCAGAAGGATAAAATAATAAGATAACCGGAGATATTGACTCCAAAACATTTCAGATAAGATGATGTGAAGAGAGAGAGAAAGAGACAGAGTGAGGAGGGGTAGGTGCTAAGGTGGGGAAGACCTTGCGTCAGAGATCACCAGTAGAGCTGTTGGCATTTTGCATCGTGTGTGTATGAATTTTTTCTCAAACGTTACTTTGAAAGTTTCTACCGTCCTACATGCTGCCAACCTATGATCTCCCTTCTTTCTTCCTCCCTCGTGGTTTTTAAATGAAAAAAACCACATCAACAAATTGCGTTTCACTGTTTGCATGGGCGCAATACCAGCGGCACCAATTTCATTCCATGTTTAACTGTCGATATTAATGATACGAAACCTGAGGAGATAGCGTTGGCATTATAAAACTTCAGATAAACTCCAATATTTGAGGAAGCAAAGAATACAGATTATACTCTTCAAGTAAATATTGTGCCAACTCCATCGGCAAGACTTATCGCTCTCCAGCTTTCACGTGCCCGGTGTATTACGGATTCTCCATCCCAATAATTTAACAAACAACAATACCTCCATATTATTTTTATTATCCGAAGGAATAACCACGTAATTCCGTGTTTTGTGCAATGGGGAATTTTTGAAAATTGCAGCGTTTTGAGTCATAGATTGGCGTGCACACAATAGCACTCACATTTTTTTTTTTTTTCAATCGTCACGCCCAAAGTCAGATTATGGTGAACGAGATCTTTCAGAGCATTTGTATTTCTTTAACAATCCAACGGCGTTGAGTTGTAAAAGTGGTAACTGGGCTCTCCTGCAGGATGAAAAAAAAAATCCCAGCGGCCACACGCTCACCCAGAAAATCCCGTGTATGGACATGGTTGTGTTACGGGTGATTGTTCCAAGGAGGAAAGGGGGAATGTATACTCGCCCCGGCCACTTCTTATTTGCTTGCGACACCCTACCACTTGTATATATAACTATATACTATGCCTTTTTTCCGCTCCTTGGCCTTAATTAACATCTGACACACACAGTCTAATATATATTTGCCGATTCATAACTGATCTATGGGATATCTTGACTCCGAGGCGGCACTTGAGATGCCTTTTTTTCTCCAATCGTTATTTGTCTCGTAAATTCAGGGAAAATTATGTGAATATTCTCACATGATTCTCTTTCATTCAACAAAAAACTCTTTAGTAATGAATCAACCTGATACCTGCACTGATAGGATTCGGTTAATATTACACAGTAACCTGGTAACTATGGCCTCATGGCGCAGTTAACTAACAATTAAATCATGCATTAACAGTAATCGAATGGCTCCGTTCGGAGGCTAATGTCGAGCTCATTGAATGATTAGATAATAGTTACCGAACTTATCCTTAATATGACAAATCCGTTATTAAATGATCATCTGTAAAGATGACGGTTTTTAACAAATAATAATATAAACAATGACGAAAGTGACATAATTAGGGAATTGTTATTGATGAATTATCGCGAAAAATGTTAGGGGAGGGCGATTACGTTTCAATTCGCGTGGCGCAAAATTCATGATGTAAACCGCACTATAGGTAGTCTCCATTCTTCCATAAATCTTCAATAGATGCTACTTCTTCAACAACTTTATCATTTATCAATATTATTAATTTTCATTCGAGAAACTATCGGTTGCCGTCTGCAAATGTGGTGTTGTCATCACAGGCTCCAAATAGATGGCGTATTGAATCAATCTCAATTCGGTAACTATTATCGAAGGTTCAATGACTCCAACCGCGGTTAAGACATTTTTTTACTACTTTGTTATAGAAAAGGATGTTATTAAATAAATACAAGTAATTATTGTTTAAATAGTGAATCTTTTTAAGTCTTGAACTGCACTTATAGATTACCTAAAAATGTCCATATATCCTGCTGTGGTAGACGGTTTAGTCCAAGAAATTATGTAGAATTGTCTAAATCGTAAAAAGACGAAGTTTGAGGGCCAAGTTTGTCTGTGCGGATGATTACGTGATGGTCGACTAGTAGGAAAGAGGAAGAACAAGTAGTTGACCGAGCCTATTTCACCGGAGACATTTAAATTAAATGAAATGAAACATTTAAAAAAACAAGAAAGTTAAATCTGCCCTTTAGTTATGCTTGACAGTAGTACGTTTTCAGATGCTGTGAAGTGTCCTTACAAATATGGGTACATCTTCAAAAATATTTTAAAATCCTTACAGACGGTTCAAAATCTTCAAGAAATATTCCAAAATGCACTTTCTGAAAATGCAAAAAAAAATTGAAAGATTTTTTGAAATTTCCCACTGCGTAAAACCCTTCAATAGAATATTAAAGTGTAATCGCATTCAATGGGAAATTTATTTAGCGGAGGGAACAAAATCGATATGATCAAATACCGCAGAAATGGGCTAATGGAGGAAAAACAATGAGCCGAAAATGTTTGTTCGGTATAAGTAAATCCTTGTATGAGTAGACGCAGCCCTGCGGAGCCAGTGGTCTCATCGTCGTACAGAGATACAAGATCATGATTATTCTTGACTCGATAAATCGAAACGGGCTCCTTGCACGCGCGAGCGTGATCTCTACGGAAGGTAAATGAAAAAAAAAAAAATCGGTGGATCGGCGCTCCTTGCGGGCCTAACTCAACTGATCGACGATTAGCCAGCGACATCCAGAGTGATTAGTTTATTCACCGAGGACGCGTTGGGCAACGAAGCGTATTAACGGTTAACCTTACACGCCGATCAAACATGTAAGTACATTTCACCCGATGATGGTGATGTTTTTTTTTATTCCAGGCTTTATTCTCCACATTACCATATATGAAGTTGCAATTCTTGTAATTATTTATTTATGAAGTTATTGGATCGTAAATGAGCATGGGGGAGGGTTTTTCAGTGTGTCGTTGTCATAAATTATAATATTAATTAATGGATTTGCACAGTAGGCTAATGAGAGCATTAAATATTTATCAATCATTAATTAATCAAATTACGTTTTTATGGTTTATCGAGGTGAATGATTTTGTCTTGTTGTTTGGATACTCATCTCTGTGGTCATTTGATTGATTTATCTGGCGTGTGAAGCGGAAATGGCTGATGATAGGCGCAAACAAACGGTTGTGGTGGTGTCCGTGAACGTTGCCGCGAATGTAAAAGGAAAAATTGAAAAAAAAAACCCTGAGGTCGGACCTCTCAACGGTGTGCGCATCTTCGGCACGATGCTCCATGGCATGGAACAATGACCATGGCATCGGGGAATTAACATTTTTTTCATGGAACGTTGAGAACCAAGGAGTAAATAAAAACGACTTAACGATTATATCCTCTGGTTGGTGTTGGACCCGAGTGAGTAAGTCATCGATGGGGGGTTGCATAAATTTCATTGTTCTCGGGGAAGGTAGAGGGAAAAAGATGCCTGGAGGTGTACAACGACATAGTAACCTTGGCCCCGATATGATTTGCTAATCTCTCGCGTGTTACGTTCGCCTCCTTCGGCGAACCTCCCGTTAACGACTTAATAACCGCTTTTGTTTAGACTTTTTAAGAGGGAAATTGAGAATGGTGGGCTTAGAGGTATCACCGATTTTTCCATATTCTTCTAATATTCCTGAATGATATGATAACAGAAACGAAAGGGTGTAAACCTCCGAAAATATTATTCTTCTGGAAAGTTCAGTATAATAATAAGCACCCTTCAAGCTAGATAAATGGAGATGGGAAATGTTTTGAAACTGTTGAAGGAAGGAGTGTTTATATTTTCATTATGATAGGTCGAAAGATTAGGAGAAAACACAATTATCTACACTGCGACACAATCCCATTTCCATGCACAGTGTAGGAGTAATTGACCGGGAATTTTTTAATTGTGCATAAACTGAAAAACAACAAGAGGAGTATTTTGAAAAAATAACATTGAAATAGCTCCGAAAATCACGTTCCATAGCATTCTAGACCATTATCAGGATCAAAATTAAAGAATTTCATTCGAAAAAAATAAGCATTCAGGATCACAATTGATTCTACTAGAAACGATAATGCAAGCTGTTTCACTTTTTGCTTTAAGAATGGTGTGAATATTCGATTTTTCAAAATTTCATACCATATGAATATTATTAATAAAATGTACGATAGCACGCGAGTTATCTAATCAGCAGTATAAAAAAAAGAATAACCGGACCATTTAGCCTCACCTGCCACCAATTAAAAATGGTAATTTTCTTTAAGTTAATGATACATTCGCCCACTTCTCTAATGTAAGTCTAAGTCTCCCATTTCCATCAATTATTTTTCTGCCGCATCAGCATTTTATCTTTTAAAATACCACTCCTTCATGTTTTACGATATTTTCCATCATTTCTACAGACTTCTGAAGAGTTGGAAGATGAAACATGATTAGATAATATTTAAATTTTTGGATGATTAGTTTATTGGCCATACATAACCGTGGAATCAGCCCGGAATATACGTGTGAGTTGGAGGGACTATTGTTTGCTCGGTCAAACACTTGAGACCCACTCTGAGCAAACAAAAATCCACTGATACGGGCCAGTCATTTTTTTCTCTCGAGCGTACTCCTTTTTCACGTTATAAAACCTCGAAGATAATCGAGGAGATATAACTGGGGGGGATAACGAAACGATTGGATTTAAACACCGGCCCCAATGCGCTCACGAGTACCTACGTCTCTTTCTGCGCAGTAACTCCCATACTTTCAATTTCCTTCATTGTAGTCGTTTTTTTCAGTTTTAAGAGTTTTTGGCTTATTCCAGGTTTATCCATTATCTTTATACTTCTTTTGGTCGTTACCAATTTAACGAGTTTTGCAAAATTGCAACAGAGTTAATACAACAATGCTGAGGTTTCAATTACACGAAATGAAAATGGAAAGTTGGGGATGGGAGCCTGGAAATTGGACTAACTTCCTGGAAATATTTACTAGAATCTAGAGAATTTTATGGGTAGAATTATCGTAATAAATTTTTAACTCTCAATTATATCAGAAATTTAGATAAATAAGAGCGGTTCAGCTGTTTTATATGAAAATACAAAAAAGATCTCCGGTGTTGAGGGAGTGACATAAGTAGATGGTGATCGGTTTGCTCGTAGCATCGAATTACCGTTATTATCATCGTCGCCAACACTGGAATCAAAACAAACCACACCATTTGCCACTGGTGTTTCAATGGATAAATCGTAACGCCCACGGATCATGCACAATTTTTTCTTCATTCAGCTGCCAACACCTCACGCCTAATTTTCTCTGTTGAATCTCTCAATAATTCTTCTGGAAACCATTGAACCAAAAAGTGTGATGCAATTACTTTTACGATCGAGGTAAGTACAGCCGTCTGTATTGCCAACTCATGCAAGTTAATTATTTGAAGAGCGGGTAATTGTTTTCAGCTTGAAAATTCAGCTCACGGCAAAAATGAAAAGTCGTCTGAAGGGCCTCTTCTTCGGCTTCATCGTAAAACTTTTCCTACCGAGTGTTATGATGGAGTTTTTCCCGTCACCATGTCCTTCAGATTGATCCAGGTTAACACGAAGGACTGAACCTTGAGGCAATCTCCAGAGATTGAAACAGCTTCTCTCAAACTGTCTAGCAACAAAATAAAGTAAATGTCTAGAGAAAAAATGGTGAATTACATGTTATGAAGGGTAAATACAGCAACTTCTTTAGAGGTTACTGTTTCCTCTAATGACGGACAAAGATAGATGAACCATGGAAATTAGTCATGACGATCTTGTTGAGGTGTCAAGAAACCTCTAGTTATTGTCCGTTCATTATCCAACATATTATGGTCTACTTGGAACACATTGTTAATTAAAATAGAACAATCTTATGTTGACAATGAAGAAACAAGGGTAATTTACACCATTTACTTTTTATTCTCAATTCTTTGTATACTGAATCCCAAAGATTGTTATCTAATATACTCTAATTTCATTGAAATTTCAGGACATCTTCTCATCAAAACCTTCAAATTTCAGAGGAAAAAATTAACAGAACTTTGAATTTTTATTCTATTTCTCCGTGAGCATTACTAGAAAGCCAGAACATTAGAGTAAGTATGTTCTTGCATTTTGAGGGTACTAAAATGAAATTTTCAGTTTCACTAAAAATTAAATTGCAATTTTACAGTGCATATTCCCATTAAATTGGAAACTCTGGAAATCGTACATTGAGAAATTATTGGATGTTGGATAAATTGCACTTAATATTGATTCAAGTCATCGAAATTACAAATATGTTTTATTGCCTGATTGCCTCAGTTAATTATTTTTTAATTCTAGAAAATGTATGAGGTACCCTCTGCGCCCGCTGACCTTTCATTCTCATCAAATTACTTATTATTAATTATTTTTTACCTCCATTGTAATTCTGGAGATATAAACAATGAAACCATTCTATATTATTGTTTTTTCTTACAATTGTATCTTGTGTAACTAACATGTCATTATCCGTTTTAATGCTCAATTCCGAGACGGAAGCTTTTATACCATGAGATTCATTTCTTTCAATTCTTTTAAGATACTTGCAACCATTTTTACCTCCAAAAAATTTGAATGAGAATGAGAAATAATATGTTTTTCTTTTACTTATTAATTTTAAATACTTATTATTGATAACTCTGTTTATAGAACTGAGTAGAAACCCAATCGCAATTCTCCTAATAATATGGACTCCCATTAAAAATATATATCATGCTTTTATCTGAAAAATGGTGTCAAACTCATGCTACTGTAATGGGGTGAGCTGTCGCAATGATGGCAATCTTCAATTTGGTCCGGTTCTTAAATAAGAAAATGCTCTCTAAATTACAAACTATTCCTTCTCCAATGTGAATCCATTAAACAGCAAGAAAAATTATCGCAGTATTTTATTTGCACCGATTGCCCAATAGCCCAACTTTTGTTGAAACTAGAATTTGCGGCTTTTCCGCGCGTAAAATACCGGGAGATATTACCCATTCACAGCCAAGAAAATATAATTGCGAAATTGTAGAAAACACCGAGGGAGACACGTCTCTTAACCACGAATATGCATATGATGTTTCGATATAAAAGTTGAAATTAGAGGTAAGAAAGTAATAAACCAATTTTCCTGGATATAATAGCCATGTAATATAACCGGTGTTTCAATTGGACGTTTGCGGAATATCACGAGGTTACAACTCGTCGTGACTTTCGTAATGTAATCGAATGGTCTTGGGGCTGTTGGATTTAAACCCAAGTTGCTCTCAAGCTACTGCATACAGGCATATGAAGATATTCTACCTAGGTTCAATGTATTTTTCCTAGGTTTTCTCCCATCTTTCTGTACGTTTACAATTTCTTTTGTCCTCTTGTCTTTTCCAGACTATTCGAGGTGGAGGTTTTCTAAAGGAGCGTATGCTAAACGCGTCTTTCTTCCAATTCCAGACGTTGTCCGCCTTTATTTGCCGCATTCGCATTGTTTCGCAGACTCGCTGGATACACGGTACAATAAAACCTTTCGCATTTTCTTTTTTCATTCATAGTTCGACGCACTTTATGCACTTTTATAACACTCAGACCAGAGTAACTTTCGGAGATCGCTAATTAATATTATTTCCTTCATTATATATTTGACTTTATACTTTTAATTCATCTGATCTTACGGTAGTCCTCATTGGCTGGCAGCAACTAGTCAATTGTCAACTCGTTCAGTCATGGAAATTACTAATATTGATTTGTCAACTGTTTTTATTTCTCTTAAATTTATTATTATTTAGAATATTTAGAATATTAATCCAACAATGTTAATTTCGCTCTCCTTTGCCAACTTGTCCTTTTAAATCGATCATTTTACTTGAATTAAAAAATAAATGACACCAGATACTGACAGTTATGGAAAATAATACGCGGTTGGAAGTTGCTTTATATAATAATGACCGGATCATTAATCTTCAATCCTCAACGACCGGTCAATGGGGCACGAGACGGTGATCTTTAAAGTAAGACTGCTGTTTTCAAAACCGAAGTGTTTTTTGCTTCACAATTGTAGTTTCACCGCGTTTAATACATAAGCCAAAGGGGATTCTTTATTTGTCGATTTTCATTCATCATTTACTCCTGTAAATGTCATAAACTTTAGGCTTTCTCTTTTTCAATGAATGACATAACTTTGATCTCCTTCATTTTTTTTTCGATTTCATATTGGCCGTTGAATTCAAGGAATGAGGAATGAATTCAAGTACTGTATCAAATTGCTGTGTGAAATTGTAGATGTAATGAAAAATGTTTTATGGTAATTGAAGGTCCTATTGAAATTTCATGGAATTTATTAGTTATCAGAAATAGAAAATTAATTATTTAGAAAGGAATGATGTGTAATTCACGTTTACATTGCATCTAAATAAATGCTATGGAGTTACCTGAAGACATCAACAATTCCTAAAGCGACAAACTAAAATGATTTATACTCATAACTCTGTTGGAGCAGAACCTCTATCTAATCTCAGAACAAAGTTTCTCACGCAAGTCCCTCTCGAGACACGAGCTCATCGAAGATAGCTAGTTATCTACGAGCGCGTGATAACGCGAAAATGTGCTGGCTACTGTGCTTTCCACAGAGTAACCGTGCACTCAAGATGCGAGAGCATCCGATACGTGTAATCCCGACTGCAAACTGATTAACGGCCCTCACTAACTAGGTCGCGTACACATTAATTCCCCCATAAACTCCCTCAATCTCTTAAAATAAAACTCACTCCGATATCCTTCATCAAGAGAGGAACAATGAACTCCGTAGAATAATCTGTTGCTGATTCACAGGGATAATAACAAAGAGGCGACCCATGCGCTCTCCATTTTGGATTGAAGCGCAACCGGTGTGTGTAATGGCCACCGAAACTGTCAACTATTCACACTCTAGGACAATGCGTTGAGACACCTGAGACTAACCCAGTGGGGGGATTCAAATTTGGTCGTCCCTATCCCGAGTTGAGTATCTCTAAGTAGGTCGTGTGTATGATAATGCCCCCATTATTGGGAGCAAGATCCCTCTGGAATATAACCCGAAGGGTCTAACCGGTGACGAGTGAAGCTCAGCAAGGGTTACGCCATGAGAATCCATCGGATTTACACGATTTAGCCACCTGAGACATTTCTCTTCATGACTCCATTACACCCCCAAAAAAAATCTATTGATCAGTTAAATAATAATTGGTAAATAATAATTAATCATTCACATTTTGGTTTTTCATTATTTCTATTACATTGATATATGCATTAATTATTTCAAATTTATACGTATCGCTGGAATAATTTATACGTATCGCTGAGCTTCAAAACACTTTACACTGATTTTTTAGATCGGCGAAAAGAGTTTTCTGTACTCGTGCTGAGTACCTAACTGGTTTTTTTTTGACAGTACCACACACACACAATATAAGTACATGTGCAAGAAAATGAAATTCTTCTCTTCAAAAAATATTCTAGTTTCATGTATATTTTTTTGTGTATAATAGTTCTGGAATGCATCCACAGTACTCACAATTTATTAATTTTTCGTTTCAAATTATCTGCTCAACATTTCTACTTACGAGTATACGCAAGAAATCCCATTCCTTACGGTACTGATATTTCTGCCGCTATAGCAATCAATTGGAAGTACTGGAATTAAGTCCGGAAAGTATCTTGGGAGAAGCGGAAAAAGTACGTTTCATCCGTACTTTTGCCACTTGTGAAGGAAGTAAAAAAGATTTCGAAAGGATTTAAAAGATTTTGATAAATTTTCAATCCAAGCAAGAGATATCTTCAAACTCGAGTTTCTCAAAAATAAACTTGTCGAAAAGACGAAGAAATACTCGCGACCCGTAATTTTTTTAATCAAACCATTTCCAAATCTTTCAATTTCCCTGAAAAACGGCTACAACACACCACCTGATGCCTCGACTCGTTCTTTGATAATTAAAAAACGAAATTAAATCCAACTCCGCCGCTGAGAAATTCATTCCTCAATTATTGTTATTTCAATGAGACCGTATTCTCTAATTTTAATTTGAGTGTCTCGTGAGCATTTTAGACGAGAGCCAACTCCCCAGCTTTTAAAACAGTTTTATCGCGCTTAAATCGTATTTCCGAGGCAATCGTTTTGACATAAAATGGATGGAAAAAAAATAAGAAGAAGTGGTTTACGTCTGGACATTTGCGCGCGTACGATTGCTCAGGTGGGAGGAGGGATTTAATTACTTTAACGTTTTAGATGTATTCTTGTTCTCAGCGGGAATAAGTCGCAATCGATCGCACAACAGTCGGTACACTGGTATAAACCTCTGATTTATACCTTTTCAAATTGCGCTCTCGTACATTCCATGCGAATGTTTGGAATCAACCGAGTTCTGCCTTATCTCACGAAATTTCATGGGATGACATTACACAAGGCGGTTCCTTCCTCATAGAATCATCAAATCGTCGAATTAGATTGAAAATTCATTTTTAAATTGAAAGTAAAAAGGATGGATGCAAAAATTTGTGAAAAAAGCTATGAAAAATGTATTATTTATGCGACATTCAGTGCTCGCATGACATTTCTCAGTAACTTGCAATTATTGTTAGCCTTCGACCCCTCAAAACATTTGTGGATTATTTATTCAGTTTTATGATTATTTTACATCCATTCGGTCAGATTAGGGTATCATCGCTGCGATGATGATCAAGCCTTTAAATGGTTAAATCTCACCATTCTACTCGTCCGGGCTTTGAACTCGGAACCTTTCGCATGTGAGGCAACGAATTTACACACAGCGCCAAGCACGAAGTGAATTCGTGATCATCAAATCATTGCTAAATACTACTCCAAAAAATGAAGTGGACGATGACTATAAAGGAATACAATCAGCTTTCAAGTATACAGAGACTGATTAAAAAAATAATACTAATGAAAAATCATTCAACCAAAACTATTAATTAATTTTGTCTCATTTCGACACCTGAATGAAACGTATGCAATGGCAATTTCTTTTTGATTTGCTATTTTCCAGTGGAAATTCCTAGAAATGTGAAACGTGGAGACATTATATTTTTGAAAAATGGAATTTGTCGAGAACTGTATCTATTACTGGAGAACAATGAATGCAATGATTTTGGAATTTTTCCTGTCAATTGGTGCTGTCAATAGTCAAATTTATGCAATCAAAACAAAAATTTCATATGCCCACCACAATTAAACTAAATGTTGGTTTCTGAGAACTTATTTTTATTACTATTGTTTAATTCCACTTAAGTTGTAGAAATGCATGAAATCACTTTCGATGAAGTATTAACAATAAATTAATCTGACTTCCTCTGATTGCTCCTGATTGAAAAATTGAACTCATCTTTATACATGGCAGATTTCTCTATCGAATTAGACAGAATTTGTAAAGGCAAAGTTGGTCAAATTTTCCATGGAATGAAGAACTTTCAGACAGTTGATCGATAGTGGCAGCGAAGAAAATTTGTAAAAATTCGAGTGTTTGTATTTAAAGCTCATAAAAAACGAGATCACTAGACATGAAATTCCATCGCAATCAGGATAACCAGAAATCAGTGAATCATAAGATTTGACAGTGGCTAGTCTCTTGTAAAAAGCACTTCTCCAATTCATGAGATGTACTTCAACCAGCCGACCACTACTTCTGATTATTGAGATGAGGTACGCCTCAGACTAATGAATTATTCAGTTCTCGTTTATTAACGCCAATTAATCGCTCTCGATAATGACGCCAGTATGTATATAACAATGATTCATTTTTTATTCAATTCAGCGGGCAATCATCTCGGTGTTACCGACCACTTCTTGTTTACGACTTTTTATTTTATCCATTCGCTTGTCTCGGCGATGTCT